TAGTTAAACTGGGGTTATTATCACCACTAACAATCAACTTTACATAACAACAAAATTAGTGTGTGTTTTGTTTGTTGAGCTCAATCTTGATTCAAGAAGAATAGATATACAGTAGATAGAGGAAAAATAAAACAGACTCTAGGGCGAAAAAAGATGGTAATTATTGCAAATATTTCTTTCGTCTTTGTTTTATCCTCTCACATACATACATACACGCAAGCATATTGACACTAATGACTGAAGAAAAAATATCTATAATATTTGCATTATATATATTAACATAGTATATATTCCATCAAATAGATAGAATGACGTAAAATTATTGAGTTTCTTTTTTTCCTTTTTGTTTCGTAAATAAACAACATTACACTTCATAACACATGTTTTTACGATCATCTCAAAGAAAGAAAAAATATTTAACAAAATTCTTCTCATCAAATAATAATTTTGTTGTGTGTGTGTGTATATTTGTGTTGCTACTATATTTTTATCCGTACGACATAGAGTAAAATTGCATCTGTAAGATATCAAACACCTCAAGGACAAAAAAGTGTTGATGTCATAAACAGGCTTGATGTTCCAGTAGAAATATTAGTCTAACGTTGACACATTCAACAACAACAAGAACAACGAGTGATAACAAATTTCGGAGAAAGTACACTATAGATTCTGTTAAGTTGATGGAAGAGGTCACACAACAAGAAAAAATAAAAAAATTTGAACTCTTCAGGACAAAATGTTAGATGAAAATAAAAAAGTATCAGCTTGAATATGATGTATTAATTTAATGTGATGATTAACTATGATGTATCTGTTTTTTTTAAATAAGGAGTGCGGATAGACAAGAAAAAGTATCATCGTTTATACTCTCTACAATCAAAACCATAAAAAAAAACCATAAAAGTTTGTTTATATTATTATACCAGTTCCATATTAATTTTGACTTCCATCAACATATATTTTCAACGTCCCCATTATCTATAAATAAATTTTTGATCTCTAATTTTTTTATTAACTTATCATCTTATGTCATAAAATTATTTTCTTCATCTATATTGTTCATCCATCATCAACGTGTCACCACGAGTAAAGATAACAAAAATCTAGTTCTTAGACATGTTTCGGAAACAACAAGAAAAAATATCATCATCACATTCCTATAGATATCCTACATTCTATATGAAGCATAATTAAAGATATGTAGTATACATGTTTGAAAGAAAACAAAAACATATCTACATTAATCTATCAATGAGAAAATAAGACCAATTATTACATTGATCATTTAGAAGTCTGTTCAAAGATATCTAATAAGTAAAACTCATCTTTAAACACAGATATTTACATCAAAATAGAATGTGGTTTCATAGTTATTATTCACATAGTTACAATAATCGTTGCTCTTGTTTCTGACACAAATAAAGTGCACTTGAAGAAATAAACGTTAGCTAACTTCTGCACTTATAAGGATAAAGAGATGTTGACTAAGCAGTGAAATAACTATAATTTGGAGTGAGAGGAAACGCTGATTCACTGTGAATGAAGCATGCCTGTGACGGAAAACATGAATTTGCTCTTTTAATACACATTACAACAAACTGCATAACTTTGTATAACACAAGGCGTGTATAATTCCTAGAACGAATATAAACAAGTTCAGGAGGTTGTTCGTTTTTATAATTATTATCTAAAGTTGGAACGGTAGAACTGGCGCTTTTTGATCTGTTTTCTTCCTATATCAAAATGTAATCGTTTTACTGGTTCTAAATGGGAAGTGCACGTCAACAAACTAGAAGATTTCTCAATCCAAACAAAATGCTCATCACATTAATATTAATCTGACGGCCCAGGAATATCGTTACTACGGAGTTCGTCGATTTTTTGCGGGCGTTTTTCCCAATCTTAAATATATTGCAAAAGAATCGCAATTAATAATTACCCATTCAAAATAAAATTGACCTTGATACATTGAACATGCATCTCGACTAATAGACTCTCGAAATAATAGAAAGTTTCTTTTTTCTTTTTTTCGGCTTGGTCCGACAGTCTTTATCTAAACGACGAACATTTTTTTGCGTATTAATGATTGGAACCAATGACGCCATAGCTCTTTAATCTTTGAAGAAAAACAGGTATCAAGAAACAAGTACATTCCTTTATCAGCTTAGTATAACCGTCAGAATTAAGAAAAAAGTCTTACATCAGCTATCACAGTATGCGAAGTTAAGGGCGCCACTTTCAGCTCATACTTCTCGATAATAGTTCATTTGGTTCCGAGGTCACACGTGTATTTATTCCATAAACGATCGGCAACAGACCATCTAACCAATGCTTCGAATTTTTAGATGACATCAAAAAACGATTCCCACAACTACTTTGCAACAACAACAACTCAGGTCAAAGAATCTTGCTGTAAGAACTCATAAGATTCTTGTATAATTCCATCTGATTTCGAATACAATCGATAAACAATAATTGATGCAATAACATAATTAGTTTTTAAGTATTGTGTAAAAGAATTTTCATAATGTCCATCAAAAAGAAAAAAAACAAAAAATCACTCTTGGTTTTTTTGAAAATGAATTGTTTCTATTGACACAAAAAGTACCTGCATTATTAAAGAAAAACAACTATGTGTAACCCTTTCCAAATTTGCTTCTATACGCTTGAACAAGAGCATCCCCTTTCCCATTTGAACTACCAATATTTCTTAGAATTTCTTCAGTTACTAAATCTGTTAACATTAGTGCACCTGACTCAGAATTAATATCTAATTTTTCGCATCGTCCTCCTGTTTGTGTTGCGATTTCTCGAAAATTTTTTTCAGCCCCCGTGGCTACAAAGAATGCATGAATCGGAATCGCTTTGTCTTTCAACTTTTTTAACTCGTCTTGATAGTAGGTTTTGTCTTTAAATTTAGTGTTTTTCCAGTATGCTTCGCCTAAAATTTGCCTTCTCTGCTCTACTTCTTGCTTTGTATTTGCAGGCATATCTCCTATTAAAATTATCTGAGAAATCTCTTCGATGTTGTATTCATTATTTGCGTGCCATAAACCAATTTCAATGGCCTCATTTCCCAAACCTCCCGAAGCTTGAATTTTGTCCATAAATGAACGTAAATTATCCGACCTCGTCTCCCAAGGAGAACTTTGCAAGATCATATCTTCTTGATTACTGTAATTTCGATACACAGCAAACTGCATTTGAAAACAATCTGTATGGATTCCATTTTCTTTCAAAATAATAGAAGCACGTTCGAACATAGTTCCAACCGTATTTTTCGATTTCTGTAACAAATGACTCATTGAACCTGTTGCATCCATCAAACAAACAGTTCGTGAATGAATATTACCGCTTGCTCCTTGATTTTGTTCTCCCAAAAAGGTTTTAACAAATTGTATCGTACCCTTATCAAGACTTTTTACAAATTGTTGAGCTTTATCATGTTCCTTTTTCGCTTCTTCAACAAACTTACTGCTGTTTGCATATTGTTCTTTAAAGAAACGATTGCGTTTCTCACTTAATGTTTCATATTTTATTCCACTTTGATTCATCCGCATAATATCAGCTTCAGTTATGAGAAACTCTTCTAAATCTTTATCTAGAATAATCATACAATAAGATCCTTCTTTTCCTTGTCTTGCTGTTCTTCCCATGATTTGAGTTTCTTCCGATAATTCTTTGGACAGAAATGTTTGAATCACATGAACACCACCTCGGGATAATACTGTCTGATCGCGACAAACAAAATCTGTTCCTCGTCCAAATTCTCGGGTTAACAATGTGATTTGTCCTGATGTTGTTGAGCGCTTAATAAGCCTTTCTTTTTCTGTCACTAATTTTTCTTGAGTTATGATATCAACCTTATCCTTTTTAGGACTCAGACAATTTGAATCATAGAATTCATTTAATTTATCTTTCGATCCAAAAAAGACTAAGACAGATCGCTCTGCATTTACCATAGCAGTAGTTTGAGCCATAATTCTCTGAAAGTAAAAATTCATGTCTTCGATAAATATGTCTGTATCTTTTCCAAATTTGCGATTATTCACACCAAATACTGATGGCATATAGGTATTTTTTTGAATATGATATATATTTTGTACAATATCCCTTTCTGGAGTACTCAACGTTTCTAATGTTCCTGAAACTCCAACAATGCGATGAAAACCGCATGGTATTTCAGCATATGAAAAGCTTCCACAATGAATTCCAATACTGATGTATTCGTCCAAACTACTTTTACTTATTTTTCCTTGCACATGTTCGTGATAATAAGCAAAAAGTGTTTTATAGCCATAGACCATATTGTATGATATACCATCTTGCTCTTTATAGGCAATTTTATCTTCATTAACAAGATAATCATGTGTTTGAAAAGTCTTTAGATCGGCCAACATATCTTTGACAGATTCTTCAATTAGAAATTCCCATCCTTTAAACTTAGCACAACACAATTCATATTCAGGAGTCTGTTTCATTTTCTGCAGCGTTGCCATCGCATCCCTTTCTTTCCAAATTCGATCAGTTAATGCCGTAATGCTTGAATCTTTCAATTGGGCTAATGGTGTATAAACATTGCCATAGAAATCTTCATTGAAAAAAACATCAACTTCGTCAATTAACAATATTTTTGGGCGGTACTTTGACACTTGACTACTTAAACTGGGGTTATTATCACCACTAACAATCAAGTTTATAACTCGATTACGGATATCACCATTTTCATTGATAATACGTTCGCATAACTTGTTAAAAGTGCCATAGTGAATATAGTCATTTACACCCAGTGTATTAAATATCGGCAAAAACTCATGATAATCACGCTTACTTAAGTATTCACTATAACATGCACAACTAACATCAAGGCCTAACAAGGCTAAAATAGAAGCTGCAACAGCCAAGGTCACTGATTTACCTTCACCTGTACCAATTTGCACTAAATTACTCATCAATCCCATTACTTTTGCTGGCCCATTATAACCAATACCGAGAATACGTAAGATCGAGATGATTTGAGCAGCATGAGGTTGTAATAGGAAAGTATTTCTGTCAGAAGCACCTTTCATTTCATTGTAATACTGTGTATTTTTCAGAGTCCATAAAGCAAAAATATGAGCCATCAACTTTGGAATTTTATCTCTCACAGAAGCATCCCAGGTAATGTCCTTAGATTTATGTTTAACTCGACCCGCAAGAAGTTCTATATCTGCAATTAATGTTCCAAGATTAATCTCTTGGGATCGAGTTTTCTTCTGATCGATTTGTGCAATATACCTTTTAACTAATGCCTCATAGGTGGATTTCGTTGGATTAAATTCATCGTTATAGCATTGACGTAGTGCATCTCGATCAATGTCATCGCCCCTTAAATTCGTTAAAACATAATCTATATCATACTGTTGAGTATCTCTATTGAACAGAGATATTGAATGGCCTCTAAAACATTTATGTTCTGAAATAATAATAAGACCTACACCGCTAGGATCTTTTTCCAAAATTGTACCCAACTGAGCTAATGGCAGTCCTTCACCTTGCGTAGTTCTATAATTCTGCAATGCCTTGTCTATGTCCCCATCTATTTTGTCCTTGAAGATAGGTATATTATCCGAAATAGACTTCATACTAATCAAGCTGCTGGCAATCTTATTTGCATCAGACGTTTCAGTAGTTTCTTTTTGTAAGGCTGCTACTTTCCCACGTACTTTTTCTTCCATTTTTTCCGTTACTTGTTTTGTATCGACATTCGGTACACGCACGTACTTTCCAAATGAGGATAAGTTACCATAATACAATCTAAACTGATCATAATCCTCTGTTGTCAAATCCTCTCTTTCTATAATACTCACAGCAGTGGGAGCCACTTGGTCAATCTTGTTTTTCAATGCTGATACACACTCCTGTTCCATTGTATTTACATTGATAATGTTATTATTGACGTGCTCTTTTAGCTCTTGTACTTGTTGTACAGCTGCCAGTTTAGCCCCTAACTTCTCATAATACTCATCTGATTGTTTTGTAGTAAGTTCGAAATGAATAATTTCATTCTTTATCTTTACAAGTTCCGAAGATACCTCCCTTGCCATTTCTGGATAACTTCTACCCCGTTCAACAATTTTTGCCATATCTGTTATTGTGTCATCGTTACCGCTATAACTTTGACTGAAATGTTTTATTTTTTTCAGAAGAGAACTCCATTTCTTTACTGCGTTTAGTGCTTCATGAATTTCTGAAATATTCATTTTGCTTAAACCATTACTGTAATTTTTGTGATTTTCTTCGAAATACTGCGATAATATAACATACAGTTCGTTGGTTTTTTGGTCAATATTATCGGGAAGTGGTGCTTTTCCAGCAAACTCATTTCGAAAATTTATGTAAGCTACGAAAATATCAAAACTTTTTTCAACCAGTTCTGGCGTTTCTACATTCTTAATACACATGAGACATTCATGTAATTTATTAAATGTCTTTACAAGCCGATGCCAAACTTGTGAATACGTTCTCTCAATTTCTGGAATAGTTTTTCCTAGTACTTCATTGTATTCATACAACTTTTTTGCTTCATTAAAAGCCAATTTAGTATTATCATCAAAGTCATCATCTATTTTTGTTTTGCATATTTCAACTTTTTTTAAAACTTCTTCACGAAGTGAACAAGCAAGATTCTGCATACCTTGTTCTTCATATTTTTTCATAAGCTTACCAAGCGAGCTTATATTGTCGGTCTGAATAATGCCATCTAACTCGTTTTTGTTATTCTTTTCCTGATGTTCAATATCTTTTTTAAAATTGTCCAATTCTTTTTCAAGTATATTCTTCAAATTTTCTGGTAAAGACCATAAACCAGCTTCGTAATCTCTAATAATTTCATTTCGTTCAACCGCTGATACAAATATAGTAGTGGATGAAGTAGTACCAAGGTCATCGTTTGATTCGACGTTATCTTTTCTTTTTCCTTCTCTAGCGTACCTTAGCGATTCTCTAAATTTATTTACACAGATATCTATGATTGTTCTCAAAGCTTGATTGTATTTTAAGTTATGACAAGCAACTTGTTGAAGTTTATCTAAAATTTCCTTTGGTGGATTAAAAATATAATCGCAAATAGACATATTCTTATATTTCTTTTCCACATCATCAAGTATTTGTTTTAGATTATTTTGTAATTGTTCAGTCCTTTCCGTTACATTTTTCGCTGTTCTCTCATTAGCAATAAAATGAGTCCCTATCAGTTGACGAATTCGAATAATGTATTCCATGCTAGTCTCCGCTTCATAAAAATTGTTAGCTTTTACTAACGCTTCTATGCTATCTAAGAAACGCATTATTTTACCAGATACAATTGATTCAATTTCTTCAATACATGAACTGATCTTTTCCTGAGTAGTTTGATCAAGATAATTTGATACAAATGTTTTGGCATTTTTAATTTTTCTAAGATTATCAACAATGGATGTGACTGCCTTTGTCTCCATGTTACTGCCAAGCATGATTGCTCTAGTTTGTGTTTCTTCAACAAGATCTGCCACTGAAGCACAAAGTGAGCGATTTAATTGATCTAGAGCACGTTGATTATTCGGACCATCATCTTGATTTGACATCTCACTTCCAACATTTACATAATCATGATTTTCGATGTATTTCATTACTTGTTTATGGACATCGCGAAATTCCTGGTAAAAACTTTCTTGATAGGTACGATATAGATCAAGATATGTTTTATTTCCTGGTAAAAATATATCTAACTGGCTTAACGACTTTGCAATATCAAGTTTGGATTTTAACTGTTGATTTTGATGATTACCAGCATATTGCTTCATTTGAATATCCATTTCAGTTAAATTATCTGATAACTTTTGACTCCATTTCTGTCTAATCTGCGATCCTTTAATAACTCGAGATACATTGGGACAGTTTTCCTCCAACTCAATGATTTCCTGCAAACGATCTGTTAGCAGTTGTGCATTGTTAAATATTTGTTCCTGACTCGTTTCTCTTTGATCAGCACTAGTTACTCGATTGAAACAACGGTCCATTTCTGTTTGAATAAAACTACTATATCCTTGCATGAAATCGGATAAAAGCCTCGATGAGGTATGTGCTTTTTCTTTGATTGATGGAACTTTCTTACAGATTTCCACATATTGAAGTGCATTTTCTGCTGTAATACCATCTAATCTACTAAATACGTATGCTTGATCATCGCTTGCACGTTCCTTGATTTCCTGCTTTTTACATTTTATTTTGTTCTCCAATATCCCTATGTTTTCATAACCGCGCTGATGTAAGAATGATTGGCCTTCCGAGGATGTGCCTCCTTTTGTGTGCAATTTGTAATATTCGTCTCTAATTACATTTAATTTTTCTAAAACTTCTTTATATTCCTCTGCCTTTATATGACGAGTTTGTTGGAGTTCGGCGAGTTGGGTTGCTTTATCACTTTTACACTTAAGTAAAACGTCAATATTTTCATATCCATTATCTTGCAAATATTTGTCAGACTGTGTTTTTACTAAGGGATTCGAACTTGAGGATTTTGAAGGCAGCTCAGCGCATTTCAGGGCGATTTGTCGTAACTTTTCCATATCAACTTCTAATTGACATATTTCTTGGTCATCCTTCAAGTTAAGCAATTTGCGTTCATTCTCAACACAAGTTATTTTATTCTCAAGTGCTTCTACATTTTGATATCCATTTTTGCTCAAATATAAGCGCGCTGGATGTAGTTTGTCGTACTCCATCTTATCTTCTTCAAATTTTTGCAATATTTCTTTCTGTTTATATAAACTTTCTTCTTCCACGTTATATGTTTTCTTGATAAAATTAAACACACTAGTTATTGCTTCATCGAACCGTAAATGAACATTTTGCCTGTACTGAACAAATTCAGGAATACTTTTTTCACAAGGTTGCATATAATCTATTTGACGTACTAGCTTACTGGCATTCTCAATATTGCTAAAATGTTCAAGATCTAAATCCATAGTCGTTATGCTTGCTTGTAAGCTTTGCACATATTGAAGAATGTCATACACAATATTCCTCATGACATCTGCATAAACTCCAGGACGAATAGAATCTATCCATTCAGCATTTTCCAGTGCAGCTAAATAGCGAAAAAGCCTTGTATAGTCGATACTGTCTGTTTTCACGTCAAAATGTCTTAACAATTGTTCAGCATCTCTTCTTAATTGCTGCATACCTCCTATCAATCTTTCTATAGTACTATGATAGGATTCAGATGTTCTAGAAACCAAAGCGGAAATCGTCCTGATAGCATTCATTTCATTTACAAATCTTTTCATTTCCATAAAATCTATCTCTTTGTTAGTTGAATTGTTTATCTCTTTGTCAGTTGAATTGTTTATCATGGCACAAAGTTTTTCAAAATAATTGACTATGGCTGATATTGATGATTCGTAAATGTTCTTAATATCTTGTATTCGGACGTGATCACGTAAAACAATTGTATCCATGGCAGATTCTAATATAGACACACAATCTTTTAACTTGTTTATATGAAACTCATCAAGTTGTCCTGTCTTCAATAAGGTATTGATTCTTTCAACTACGCTTCTTAAATGAGTTAATAGAGAAGAAATAATATTCTTATACATTTCTTCCATATCAGCACGTTTCAAATGTTCTCCCAAGGTGGACAAGACCAGATGGGCATTCGTCATGCTTTGTGCCACTTGATCAAACTTATTTGACAATATCGACTCCTCAGCCGCTTTAACTAATTCAGTAAATCGATGGAAAAAATGTTGACATATTTCTTTATATTTATAATCTACATCTGGAAAAGTGGAAAGAAGTTTAACGTTGTCGAAACCAGTTTTTATGGAAGAATCGTCCATATCTGCATCACGCAAACCTTTGAGTATAATATCAACTTTCGTTATTAAATTCTGAATTAATGCGCCACGTTGTACCGTTTTTGATCCCAAATGGACTTCCCTTAAGCTTTCAGCAGCTGCAATGTGATTTATGCATACTTGATATTGTTCAATATCATCTATAGTCAACATGTTTTGATTTTCTAGGCATCGATTGAACAGAGAAACTGTTTCTGTATATCTTTCATGAATATGTTGACTAACATGTTGAATACAGTCATCATAGACTTGTTCGATAAAATCTTGTTTAAGTACATCCTGTAAGTCTTTCAACTCATCCAACTTGTATTTTATTAATGGATAATCTGCTCGTTTTGTAGCACAAATAATAGCCAAGTGTTCTTTTTGTAATTGATCCTGTATTTTTGTTTTCGAATCTTCAGTAATAAAAAAGTGAAAAACCTGATCAGGATGATTGATGGAGCACGTCGTTTCAGTTTCTTAACAAGGACTTTTGGTGATTCATCTCCAACTGGATCTATTACATTTGCACCGTCTTCAGTTTGTTCTGCCATCTCTCCTAATAGAAGACAAAAGGCAGTATTCGATTTTTCACTTTCAGACAAAGTATCTAAAATATCTTTCAACGAGGCATGAATACTATCTCTTTCGATCTCTGGATATTTTGTGAATCCATACGAAAACGAACTAAAATGATCTTGGATATTAGGAATTAATCTTACTAATGTGTATGCCGATTCCTTTAAACCCGTTAATCTGTCACCAATACTCTTATAACTTATTAGCAACAATGGTCTTACACTTTTACATTTCTTTATTGCTCTTACAAGACCTATGCCATTAGCAATATCCACTTCCGGACCGGCTGTATCCAAAAATCCCGGAGTATCACAGAGAACAATTCCACCATTTTCTTGTATGCCTATATCCTTAAAATTTACGGGAACAGAGGTAATGTATCGTGTTTCAGACATAGCATGCGGACTTGTTACGACATTTTTCAATGCCAAATTTGTCACTTCAACTGGAGCAATATGGTTTAATTCACGCACACGTGTAGCTGCCATTTTAGATCCTGCCATATAATGGATAGTAGTTGATTTGCCCGATCCGGTTCCTCCTAATAACAGAATGATATCTTGTCCCGTTATTAACTCTGCAGATTCATCTGTTTTCTTGATCAGTCGTAACATATCTTGAATATCAAAAGGTTTTAATTCTTTCAAAAGCATCTCTAAATTAGGCTTTGCCAAACTCCAATTTAGAATCTTCACATGCACTCTGCATTGTTCAAGGAAATTTTTAACCTTCTCGGAATCTTGCTTTTCTGCTTTTAATCGGCCTGTTAGGTCGTCAAGTTCTTTCTGAATTGTTTCTTCTATTTGGTCAGGTACTTGAATAGTTTTATCTGAAAGTATCGATTCATCTGCTAATTTTAAAGAAATATAATAGATCAAACTAATTATGCTTTTTTCAGAACAAGGAGGCATCAAAGAAACATCTTTACACATGTTCATTATATTATCTTTCTTCTTTTGATTTAGTTGTGCATTATGAATGTTCTCCATTCTAATTGACGTTCTACAATATTATCAACTCAATAGCAGCTAATAAGTGAATTAGTTGTGATTTGAGAATACTCTTGAAATAACTGTTTGAATAGATCTAATAAAACTGGTTGAATATCATTATCGTCATATTAATAGTTGATAATAATTTCTAAATCTTTCGGATGTTCGTGCAAAATTCGTTCTAAACTTGCCACTTTTTTTACTAATCTTATTCCATTTGCTTGTTTGCTTGCATTGACATAGGAAATATTCTAATT